GTGGGCGGCCTTTGTATAAAAATTTGGGGCTGATTGGTCCAGGGGTGCGCCGTCGGCACGTGCAAAAGGGCGCTCTCATAGGGATAGCATGGTGTCGGCGAGAGCGGCGGTCGGCCGAAAATCGGGCCGACACGGCTCGCTTTCCGGCTTGATATCTCGGCAATGGGTGGACGCAGCGAAAAGCGGTTGCCACCAATGGATAGAGGAGAGATGGAACTAGCGTATTGATATGGTTTCATAGTGTAGCACGCGCCACGTGCAAGACAGCATCCCCGGTTGTGAAAAAAATGACCGATTTCGTGCATTGTGACGGGAAAATCGATGCCGCTGGAAAACGGCTTGACGGAATGAAATCGGTGTGGTGCCATTTTGCAGGCAAATGTACGTGTAATCAGAGGATAGCAGATAAAAAGCGATGATCCGTACCATTTCCTTAATAACGAAACATTAATTGGAAAATTTATTTCGCGCGGAGCGCGACGTCCTTTACAACATCAAAACGTATTGAAAACGTTGATCAATCGCTATGAAACCTACATATTCGGAAAGAGCATTCTTTTCTGACCAATATCCACCCAAAATATTATCGAAAAGTCAATAAACTTGGGTGAAAATGACTCAAACATACGACCGTGTTTCGTTAACGTTACAGGTATTTTTCGACAAAATCCGATCGATGGCTTATGGCCGGCAGGCCATTCAAATTTTGTTAATAGCTTTCAAAGCATGGGCTGCAATGCACCGCCCGCAAAGGGGAATTCCAAACACTGAAAATAAGCGCCTACCAGTAAACAGCACATTATTGTACTAGGAATAACTCAGCTACTACTGGGCCGATTGCGCTGAAACTTGGACTGTGGGTGGAGGGGACAATAACCTGGCGATGCATCGTCATTTCTGACAGGTAGGGTGGATCGATTGCACGTGCGCACGTGAGGGGTCCGCTTCTACATCTCAAGAACGGCTGGGCCGATTTCGCTCAAATTTTGTTCACTGTTGGGGACAATTTAGAAAGGTGCCTGGCACAAGTCATCTGGAGTCTCAGCTAGCGCGTGCGCACGTGCAGTGGGCCAGTTTGATATCTCAAGAACGGCTGGGCCAATTGCGCTCAAACTTGGTACGTTACTTTAATCGAGTATGAGAAGGGTAACTATGTGTTATTAGTAAGGAAGGGTATGGTTAGGTTAGGGTAGGGTAGGGTGGGTTTGAGTTCGATAAAGGCAAACCATGAGAAAGGCTCTAACAACCCGCAACCAGCACCAGCACAACATGCCGTTCAAACAAATATCCAACTCCGACAAAATAAGACAAAAAAATATCATAAGTTCCGACACCCAAACTAATGCCCCATCAAATGCATCTATCAAAGGGCACAGTTATAGCGCAAAATATGCCATCTAGTCTATATTATGATTTATAAGATGTCTGTGCGTGCGTGTGTCATGCCTTATGTGTCTTATTGCGCCTGAAAGGCGCCGCGTAGCGGCGTGAAATTTGGCATGCCGAATCTGTGGGCGTGGGCGGCCTTTGTATTAAAATTTGGGCGTGATCGGGCCAGGGGTGCGCCGTCAGCACGTGCAAAAGGGCGCTCTCATAGGGATAGCATGGTGTCGGCGAGAGCGGCGGTCGGCCGAAAATCGGGCTGACACGGCTCGCTTTCAGGCTTGATATCTCTGCAACGGGTGATTGCAGCGAGAAGCGGTTGCCACCAATGGATAGAGGAGAGATGGAACTAGCGTATTGATATGGTTTCATAGTATAGCACGCGTCACGTGCAAGACAGCACCCCCGGTTGTGAAAAAATGACCGATTTCGTGCATTGTGACGGGAAAATCGATGCCGCTGGAAAACGGCTTAAAGGAATGAAATCGGTGTGGTGCCATTTTGCAGGCAAATGTATGTGTAATCAGAGGATAGCAAACAAAAACTGATGCTCCGTACCATTTCCTTAATAATGAAAAATTAATTTGAAAATCTATTTCGCGCAGAACGCGATGTCATTTACAACATCAAAACGTATTGAAAACGCTGATCAATGGCTATGAAACGTGCATATTCGGAAAGAGCATTCTTTTGTGACCAATATCCACCCAAAATATTATCGAAAAGTCAATAAACTTTTGTGAAAATGACTCAAGCATGCAACCGTGTTTTGATAACGTTACGCGTATTTTCCGACGAAATCGGATCGGTGGCTTCGGCAGCCAGGCCCAGGCAGGCCAATGAACCTTTGACAACAAACGGTAGCGGAAGGCACCTCTCGCCAGGGGAATTCGCCAGTAAGTAAAATAAATTTATTCTTGCAATAACTCAGCCGGGGCATTCCACGTCAAATCAAACACCGAAATCCGTCACCCCCTTCGATTTTTCTGAAAATTTGTAGGCAGACTGGGCATGGTTCAAAACTGAGTTACGTATAATATTTTCGAAATTTGATAAAGTATCGCTGGGATATAGGTCATCGAATATAGCCAAAAATGTCACACATCAATTTTTTAAATGTCTATAACTCTGGTTCCTTTTCTGGTATCAAAATGATATTAACAGGGTCTTGTAGGCAATTTATAAGGCTTTGATTTTTAAATATAAAATTAAATTGTAGTGACCTTGAAATGCATTTGACCTTGAATTAAAACAGAAAAATTTAAATAGCAAAAAACACGTCACCTTCGATTCGGGTAATTTTTACATATTATATCCGTCACAATGTTCCTAACCATCTGTGAAAAAATTGGAGTGGGCCATTCATAACTCTCGCGGCAAACGCCGTTTTCATGCATCAACATCACGCAACCGCGCGTGACCTTGAAAGACAGAGTCAAGACATGCTTGCTTGTGTACACTTTCTGAAATGAATGATTGCTGATTAGTGATATCCCAAACTCTGCGAGAATGGAAATACATAGTCATCGTAGTCAAGCATTCAAGTTCCATAGTAAAAGTGTCTCAGGCAAACGGAAATTTTGCGGTTAATTTTGAGCCGTGTGGAAATGCATCATGAAGCCAAAAATTCAACGAAAACATTATCACGCAACGATATCTTCACGTCTTTTTATCTTCACTATACGAAAGAATATACATTTTTGAGTATGTATGGGGAATTTCTAGTCTATATTATGATTTATAAGTCGTCCGTACGTTCTCCATCCGACTGTCATGCCTTATGTGTCTTATTGCGCCTGAAAGGCGCCGCGTATCGGCGTGAAATTTGGCATGTCGAATCTGTGGGCGTGGGCGGCCTTTGTATTAAAATTTGGGCGTGATCGGACCAAGGGTGCGCCGTCGGCACGTGCAAAAGGGTGCTCCCATAGGGATAGCATGGTGTCGGCGAGAGCGGCGGTCGGCCGAAAATCGGGCCGACACGGCTCGCTTTCCGGCTTGATATCTTGGCAACGGGTGCTTGCAGCGAGAAGCGGTTGCCACCAATGGATAGAGGAGAGATGGGCCTAGCGTATTGATATGGTTTCATAGTGTAGCACGCGCCACGTGCAAGACAGCATCCCCGGTTGTGAAAAAATGACCGATTTCGTGCATTGTGACGGGAAAATCGATGCCGCTGGAAAACGGCTTGACGGAATGAAATCGGTGTGGTGCCATTTTGCAGGCAAATGTACGTGTAATCAGAGGATAGCAGATAAAAAGCGATGATCCGTACCATTTCCTTAATAATGAAACATTAATTGGAAAATTTATTTCGCGCGGAGCGCGATGTCCTTTACAACATCGAAACGTATTGAAAACGTTGATCAATCGCTATGAAACCTACATATTCGGAAAGAGCATTCTTTTCTGACCAATATCCACCCAAAATATTATAGAAAAGTCAATAAACTTTCGTGAAAATTACTCAAACATACGACCGTGTTTTGTTAACGTTACAGGTATTTTTCGACAAAATCCGATCGATGGCTGATGACCAGCAAGTCATTCAACTTTTGACAATAGCTATCAAAGCATGGGCTGCAATACACCGCCCGCCAAGGGGAATTCCAAACACTGAAAATAAGCGCCTTCCAGTAAACAGCACATTTTTGTACTAGGAATAACTCAGCTACTACTGGGCCGATTGCGCTGAAACTTGGACTGTGGGTGGAGGGGCAGTGGGCACTCATCTGGCGATGCATGGTCATGTGTGACAGGTAGGGTGGATCGATTGCACGTGCGCACGTGAGGGGTCCACTTATACATCTCAAGAACGGCTGGGCCGATTTCGCTCAAATTTTGTACACCGTTAGGAACAATTTAGAAGGGTGGCTGGCACAAGTCATCTAGAGTCTCAGTTAGCGCGTGCGCACGTGCAGCTGGCCGCTTTTATATCTCAAGAACGGCTGGGCCGATTGCGCTCAAATTTGGTACATTACTTTAATCGAGTATGAGAAGGGTAACTACGTGTAGGTTATGAGTAAGGTAGGGTGTGGGTTGGGTAGGGTAGGGTAGGGTAGGTTAGGGTAGGGTAGGGTAGGGTAGGGCAGGGCAGGGTAGGGTAGGGTAGGGTAGGGTAGGGTAGGGTAGGGTAGGGTAGAGGTAGGGTATGTATATTTGTAGGTTAGTGTAGGGTTTTTAGCGGCGTTTCCGGTGGCGTTTATGGCGTTTCCGATAGGCGGTGGTTGGGCGTGCGATGCGGGCGGTTTTCTTTTTTTTAGGTTATATGTTTTCATACAAATAAAAATATAACCTCATGCATCAAACTAATGGTCCCATGAACAATAGCCATCGAAACGTACAGTTATCGCGTGTATCCATCCATCCATCCTGGGTATGGTAGGGTATTGTAGTGTATGTTAAGTTTGAGTGCATAAGGGCCCAACATCCGAAAGACTCAAACTACCCCGGGTAATCAGCACCAGCATACCATACAGTTCAATTAAAAACAAATGTCAAACTTCACCTAGCTCATCCAAATAAAAATATAACCTCATACACCCAAACTAATGCCCCCATTAACAATATCTATCGAATCTATACAGTTATCGCGCAAACATGGCCATCTAGTATAGCTGTTAAGCATAACTCGTTTTTTTATTTGACACCCTTTAATAGTACAGCATGTGGTTTGGCACGTTCACACCACAAAGTCATCAACAAAGCAAACCAGACTTGGCAGACTGGAGAACAAATTAGGCTCAACGAGGATTCGCCTCGTGACCGATTACAGAAATAATCATTGAAAGAAACCTGGCTATCAAAGCGATATCGTGTGGAAACGTTGGAGTCGGTCCGCCCGGAATCTCGGCTCCCCGCCGAGGACGCAGGGCGACTCCCGGCAGCTCTTGTACCAACGCCAAGCGAGGTCGGAGCCAGTCGCGAAGTGGGCGCGCCGTCGGACAAGATGAGGGCCCGCGCGCACCGTTTGGACGACGGCCGATAACCTGCCACAGGGGGGAGGGGGGGGGGGGTCGTACATGTATGTTAGTGAGTGGTGAAGAAAAGAGCAGAAATGAATAACGTGTACTCTTAACAATTGATCACAAATGTAGTCACTATGATGAGCCATCAAGAGCCATACGAAAGCGCCACGCCGACGTTCACATTCCGGAATGAGTATACGCAAAGCGAAATACATTTGCAACTACACATGCGTTATACACGTCATATAAAAAGTGACATTATCAGCTCCAGATCGACTCACCCCCGTCATCTCGCAGCTTGGCATCTGCGACACCAGCTCCGGGTGGGTTGCAGTACGGCCGGGTGCAGCGGCGTGTGACCGTCACGGCAGGGCGGCCGCCAGCCCTGCAGTACGGCCAGGTACAGCGGCGTGCGACCGTCACGGCAGGGCGGCCGCCAGCTCCGGGTGGGCTGCAGTACGGCCAGGTACAGCGGCGTGCGACCGTCACGGCAGGGCGGCCGCCAGCTCCGGGTGGGCGTGCGCCGTGGAACGTCGTAGGCCGTTCTGCAGGACAAAACGATCGACTGTCAGCTGTGAAGGCTGACGAGCCGAGAATGGAAGGCATGTGAGGCAACTATTCGTTAAATGTTGACACCAAACATGACAAAACAGCGCAAAGGGCCGTTCCCAGCCGTAGTATAGCTGTTAAGCATCACTTGTTTTTGATTTGACTCTCAAGTTGAATATCTAATGCAGCATGTGGTTTGGCACATCAACATCACAAAGTCATCAATAAAGGAAACCAGACTTAACAGACTGGAGAACAAATTAGGCTCAACGAGGATTCGCCTCGTGACCGATTACAGAAAAAATCATTGAAAAGACAGCAAACGATACGGTTAAAACTCTATGCATCGGTCTGGTCCAAACTCGATTATCAGTAATCGGACCGACCACAAGCAATAGGTACGCAATAAAGACGTTCTGAATCACATGGAAAATAGCAGGTTTCTATATAAGCTGTTCCCTTCACAAATCCAAACCAGACCTGGCTATCAAAGCGATATCGTGTGGAAACGTTGGAGTCGGCCCGCCCGGAATCTCGGCTCCCCGACGAGGACGCAGGGCGACTCCCGGCAGCTCTTGTACCAACGCCAAGCGAGGTCGGAGCCAGTCGCGAAGTGGGCGCGCCGTCGGACAAGATGAGGGCCCGCGCGCACCGTTTGGACGACGGCCGATAACCTGCCACAGGGGGGAGGGGGGGGAGGGGTCGTACAAGTATGTTAGTGAGTGGTGAAGAAAAGAGCAGAAATGAATAACGTGTACTCTTAACAATTGATCACAAATGTAGTCACTATGATGAGCCATCAAGAGCCATACGAAAGCGTCACGCCGACGTTCACATTCCGGAAATGAGTATACGCAAAGCGAAATACATTTGCAGCTACACATGCGTTATACACGTCATATAAAAAGTAACATTATCAGCTCCAGATCGACTCACCCCCGTCATCTCGCAGCTTGGCATCTGCGACACCAGCTCCGGGTGGGTTGCAGTACGGCCGGGTGCAGCGGCGTGCGACCGTCACGGCAGGGCGGCCGCCAGCCCTGCAGTACGGCCAGGTACAGCGGCGTGCGACCGTCACGGCAGGGCGGCCGCCAGCTCCGGGTGGGCTGCAGTACGGCCAGGTACAGCGGCGTGCGACCGTCACGGCAGGGCGGCCGCCAGCTCCGGGTGGGCGTGCGCCGTGGAACGTCGTAGGCCGTTCTGCAGGACAAAACGATCGACTGTCAGCTGTGAAGGCTGACGAGCCGAGAATGGAAGGCATGTGAGGCAACTATTCGTTAAATGTTGACACCAAATATGACAAAACAGCGCAAAGGGCCGTTCCCAGCCGTAGTATAGCTGTTAAGCATCACTTGTTTTTTATTTGACTCTCAAGTTGAATATCTAATGCAGCATGTGGTTTGGCACATCAACATCACAAAGTCATCAATAAAGGAAACCAGACTTAACAGACTGGAGAACAAATTAGGCTCAACGAGGATTCGCCTCATGACCGATTACAGAAATAATCATTGAAAAGACAGCAAACGATACGGTTAAAACTCTATGCATCGGTCTGGTCCAAACTCGATTATCAGTAATCGGACCGACCACAAGCAATAGGTACGCAATAAAGACGTTCTGAATCACATGGAAAATAGCAGGTTTCTATACAAGCTGTTCCCTTCACAAATCCAAACCAGACCTGGCTATCAAAGCGATATCGTGTGGAAACGTTGGAGTCGGCCCGCCCGGAATCTCGGCTCCCCGACGAGGACGCAGGGCGACTCCCGGCAGCTCTTGTACCAACGCCAAGCGAGGTCGGAGCCAGTCGCGAAGTGGGCGCGCCGTCGGACAAGATGAGGGCCCGCGCGCACCGTTTGGACGACGGCCGATAACCTGCCACAGGGGGGAGGGGGGAGGGGTCGTACATGTATGTTAGTGAGTGGTGAAGAAAAGAGCAGAAATGAATAACGTGTACTCTTAACAATTGATCACAAATGTAGTCACTATGATGAGCCAAAACAAAACAACAAGCATTGCATTAATGGCAGTTGGCACCACTACATAATACTTAGTAGCAACATAATGAGTATTGTGATACATCTGAGATCTGATGAAATGATTGAAGTCATGAATTTCCATTTCAGACTGACCAAGGATCATCTAAACTTGATGCAATTTCGAAACTGACAAACGTAAGACAATATGTGCATGAACATGAGAGGAATTTAATCATTTGAAGCTCATTTAATGTTAAGCTGTTTGGATTAAATTATTAGCATTCAATTTGACCTTCACCTTAGCATTACCATTATTGAATTATTCTAGTTTACAAGTGATAAGTATGAGGCTAGTTACAACAACAAGATTACCTTCTCTTGAAGTCATTCCAAGCAAATAGGGTTGGACCAGCTTCTTTCTTGCCATTCCTAAAATGACAAGAGCACACTCTTGAATGCTCATTGGGCTTTGCATCTTGTCTCCTGTGAAAAAGCAAAGCAATAAAGTTGGTTCTATTAGCAGAAAATGAATCAGACAGCATGGCCCTGCTTCACGGCAAGCCGTAGTTACCAACTCACTGCAGCTGGGCATTGGTGCTCATTTTCAAAAGAATTTAGAAATGTCAGTGAAATATCTAAACAATTTTGCCAGCATTTCCATTTGGACAGAATTTTGTCAGCATTTCCATTTGAACCTGAATGTGGGTAGCAGCGTGCAGTGAAACAGGGCCCTGCTCAGCAATGCTAAGCAAAGGGTGGAAACAAACAGTTGAAAATGAAAAGACAAACGAGCTAGAGCAGCATCTCCACACCAGCAGACTTCCTACATCAACCAATCTACAAATACACACCAGCAAGCACCAAGCAAAATCAGCAATTTTTACAACCAAATGTACCTACCTAGAAATTTGGGTAGGTACAAGTGGAGCAGACGTCACACCAAGGTTTTCCAGCTTAGGAGAGGCGCTATACCCGGAGATGCTTCTTTCTAACCTAAACGCCGGTGGTGTTGGCGCCTTCACCCACTGTTCTGGAGGCACCACTGAGATCCGAACTCAGGATCTCCTGTTTACCAGAAAACAAACATAACCTAACCTGGCCTAACCTACAAACCTACAGCGCCTATCTTTGGTTGGAAGGCCTTTGCGTGACGTCTGCTCTACTAATGCCAAAATTTGTACTTTTGGTATGATTAACTGCAAAAAAAGGTGCTTACTCCCTTGCTGATCCTGCTGAGCCTCCCATACAGTCATACTGATACATTGTTTGCAATTGTACCATTTGAGAAACAAAGAAATGTGCCGACTGAAAAATATGGATACAAAGAATTGCAGGGAGAAACATTTTCCCGACAAGTAATTGCGCAATGAAGAATTTTTTTTTATAAATTTAGTCAGAACCTTTTGATGGGAAGGATTCACAAGGACAGAGCCACCGCTAAGCGAAGCTTGTTGCGATGACCCTGCCCTCTACCCTCCGATCACGCAATTCCAATTCTATGGCAGAATTTAGAGTCCAAAGTTTAACGTGCGCACAAATCCGCGCAGGGCCGGTCCCCTCGCTGACTTCACCTGGCTACGGCCTGCCACCAACCGCAGCCATACCTGTCAGGAGGCCCATAAATGTCGAGCGCCCGACATTTTAGGTAAGGTACTTGAAAAGATTTGTCCTGAAATCACCTAGAAGTTACCCAAGCAGGTACTTAACAAAATGGTGTGAGCCTGTGAGGGTTGCATATCTAAAAAGTCATAAAAGCAGCAATATCACGATAATAAACAAAAGGAGATATCACAATGTCGCATGACGAACCTCATCAGTGTAGTCCATTTCTTCAACTCCCCCTCGTCCCGGGGCAATCGGAAGAAGGAGCACTTGGACTGGGACCTGGCGCTGGAATGACTGCATTGAGGCACAAAACAAAAAGGCATATTTGCTCCTTAGATGTAAGACTGACTCATCTCCGAGATTATTCGCCCCAACAGCACTCAAACAAACTCGATGAAAAAAGCGGGAAAAGCCAAAAGGGCGACTCAATGCACATTTCTGATTATCTGTTCAAAGTGCACTTTCATAAAGATACGGAATGCGCTGATTGGCTTTAACGTGATGCGCTAACGTCACTCAACGTGAAAAAGCAGCCGTAAGCGGTTTTTCGAATATATATCGAATAAATGTATTGTTTGCGCAGTATTTGTAACAACAAAAACTGAGGCTCTTTCTCGCCCTTGGAATGTGCCATCGTTCGAGTGGTGCATCAAAAATTATTTTTGTTTTTATGGGATGAATACGTAGTTCTGTTCATCCTTCTATGAGATAAGGAAGAAAATTAGATGTCCCCGGCAGTAAAATGAAGATTTTTGGCACCTTGCAACACCCTGACAAAAGTCCATAGGATTTACATAATGTTTTAGAAGAAGAAAAAATCGTTGAACCCCACCGCCATTTTCTGGTCACGTGATGTCACCCACCTGGTCTGGACAGGAATTTAATTCAACGGTTTTGCGCGTGATCGTCTGCTATTCAATTGTTGCTTCAGGTATGAACTCGAAGCTGTCCTAGATACTGCAATTAAATGTTTTTTATTATGTACAGCATATTATTAGAATGGTAAATACTCTTGTTCATGCTTAGAGGCTTTACTGACCAATTAGTATAATGTTTTATATAGCGGATGCCGCGATCGGAGCATCTCATGTGCACTATGTTTTCGCCCATTCAGCTGATCACGGAGGTGTTCGGCTGACTGTGGGCGGGGAGGGCGGGGAGTCTGGATTGAGAGCTCAAGGAGTGAGGTTGCGCTCCTGGCTCTGTAAAAATGTAACCTAAAGCTAAATACAATGTAATGTTCTTCAGTTTTGATTATGTCGATTCACCTTCAGTAAACACGGGTTTACATTTGGTGGCAGCGGTGGGATCGACTTAGTCGAAATGAAGCTTGGAGCCCGAACCGACGTCCTCGGCTTTCGCGGCCTCAAGATGAAGAATTCAAGAATTCAACTGACTGTTTGAACTCTTCGGAGAAGCTATCGCCAGTGCAAGATGTCTGCTGTTGGTTTTCCGGCTCTGCAACACTCTGACGAGTTGTCAGTTAGCCGGTAAGGTCGGTCGACTTCACCTTTTGTCCCGACTGAAGACTGCGACATGTTGGCCGCTGCACGGCGACTGTCCAGCAGTGTCGTCTGTTCCCGCTAGCACTGAGCTCCGCTTCTTGAGCTGTGCTACGGTCGACCCTCGGTCCACTTGGCTTTGGAAGTGTCGACTGAGCGCCGTTGCTGCAACACGTTTATTCAGCAAGTTGATCGCAAGATGGACCAGTTACGAGCCGTCATGGAGATTGGTCAGCCAAGGGCTATCGAAGCAAGAGGAGCCTAGTCTTGGGCTGCGCCGTTTTCCCTGCTTCTTCAATCTTCGTGGTACCGGCTACCTGCCGTCTCAGCTGTGATGGAGGTGACGTCCGTGAGGAGGCTGAGAGACAGCGATCAGTGCGCAGTGGCTTGCGGTGATCTCGGCCCAGCCGTCGCGCTGCTGCGGCCTGCGAGTTCCGAGTGCAGTGCTCAGTGATTTGGTGCGCGAGTGGTGAGCGAGTGACGAGTCGGCACCGCCATAGCGATTGGCGTCCGACCTCCTCGCTGCTGGTGATCGGCACCAGCCGGCTGTATCGCCCACCGCGACTCGGCTCTGAGCTCTGCCCAGCTCTGCGGCCCGTCGGCGCTGCACTGGACCGCGTCAGCTGATTCGAGGAGCAGCAGGCAAGGCGCCGGATGGAGAGGACTGGCCGTCACTGCACTCACGGTACTGTGCCTGGGGAACTGGGATTTCGGGGTCGGTGAACTGTGTTTAGAGTGTTTGACAATGAACAATTCAGTAGTGGTGTCAGAGCAATGTGCGAAAAATCAAAGTGAATACGCAATGGAAATGATATTAGAGTTCACTGTAAAGCTAGGTCAGGTTTGGCTAACCAGCTAATGTGGTACCTAAGCAGGAATTTAAAATGAGTTCTTTTATTGTACCGGCACCCCGTTTCGGTGGGAAGGGTTCGTTGTCCCGTTTCCGTGAGGATTTTCAAACGTTTGGTCGGCTTCAGGGCTGGGATGTGGACCAGCAGCTTTCTTTTCTGCCACTGACCCTAGAAGGCATTGCACGGGATGCTTATGATGCTCTGAGCTCGAGTCAGAAGGGATCCCTGGACAGCGTTTTCAATGGTTTGCGGGAAACGTTCACAGTGGGGACCACAATCGACGCGCACATTCGTCTGACCGAGTTAAAGTATGACCCCGCCGAGTCTCTGGACGAGTTCCTTGTGCGGTTTAAGTCTCTGGTAAGGCGCTCCTTCCCAGATCAGCCGACTGATGGTCTGCTTTTTAACTACTTTCTGTCAGCCGTCCCCGAGAAATATCGCTCAGAGATTGTGATGGCGGGAATTACTGATTTCCCGGCCGCCGTGCAAAAGGTGAGCAATATCCGCAGTGCTGAGGTGCTGCGAAGCGCGTCAGTGCGTCAGGTAGAGGTGCAGGCGCCGATGTTGCGCCTGATACTCGATCGCATCGAGCAGCTCGAGCGGCGTCTGGACGGCCCCGGACGCCCCGAGCGGACCGGACGGCGCCGCGGGTCGCAGCCGTCCCGGTCAAACGAGGCGCCGGCGCGCGCCTGCTGGGCCTGTGGTGGCGCTGATCACGTGCGGTCCCGATGCCGTTTTCGTGATAGCACCTGCCACTCGTGTGGTAAGAAGGGACATCTGGCAGCCGTGTGCCAAGCTCCGTCGGGAAACGCCGACCGGGGCCCAGGTCAAAGCCCGAGGCCGGGTCCCGCGGCACCTCCCGAACAGTAAGTGATGCTGGTGACAGCGTACAGCTCAACCCAGATATGACTTTCCCGGCTAGGATCGGTGGGGTTGAGTGTAACTGTTTGTTGGATACGGGCTCGACGATAAGTATCATTAATAAGGCAGTGTTTGATGCTTTACCGAACGCCACTTTGAGCATGACAGCGACACGGGCGCGGACGGCCGCGCAGGAACAGTTGCCTCTCCTAGGGAGAACTGTCCTTTCCGTTCAGATAGGTCGCGTACAAAAGACTGTCCCCTTTTATGTGTCGGATGTGATTGATGTGCCCTGCCTGTTTGGCATTGATTTCCTTCAGCACGTGCAACCCTGTGTAATAGATCTGCAGCGGAAATGCCTGAGCTTTGTGCCGTCGGAGGCAGTTCGATCTGTTTCAGCGGAGGCAGTGACTGTAGGAACCGTGGTTTTGGGCAAAGATATTACCGTTCCACCCGGTAGTGAGACGGTGGTTCGTGGGTTTTCTCATAATTGCGACTACAGGGGCTCTGCTCTGATTGAACCTTCATGGGACAAACCGGGATTAGAGGTTGTGAGGAGCATAGTGGAAGTGTCTGGCACGAGCGTTCCATTAGTATTGCGAAACAACTCTGATCGTTTTGTCACTGTGCCCAAGCACGCTGAGCTGGCTCAGTTAGAGGTAGGATTTTCAGAGGAGCCTAAAGTAAAAGAGTCTGAGCTTAAAGAGTCTGTGAACTTGGAAGAATTAGTGAACTTAGAGGGAGTAGATATAACGTCATCACAGAGAGCTGCCCTTTTTCGCGTCCTTAAAAAGTACGAGTCAATGTTCGATGGCCACATGGGCCACACCACTCTGGTGGAGCACCGTATCGATACGGGTGACAGCCCTCCGATCAGACAGGCCCCACGTAGAATTCCGCCGCACCTCAAAGAGGAGGTGAAGGCTCAGTTAGACGAGTTAGTCAGACAGGGGATCCTAGAGGAGTCAGAGGGCACGTGGGCGTCGCCCATATGCGTGGTTCGCAAGAAGGACGGGTCGGCGAGGATAGTAGCCGACTTACGCTGATTGAACTCAGTGTCTCGAGTCCCCGCCTATCCGATAGCCAGAATAGATGATACGCTAGACGCGCTGTCGGGATCGTCGCTATTTTGCACCCTGGATATGAACTCTGCTTACCATCAGATGTCAATTGCACCGGAGGATAGAGAAAAGGCAACGATCGTGACACCTTTCTCGTGTCTGCAGTACACACGGGTTTGTTTTGGTCTCGCAGGAGCGCCAGCGAGCTGTGCTCGTCTGCTGAACATAGTGTTAGGAGATATTGCACCGGAAAAATGTGTAAGTTACTTTGATGACATCATTGTGCACGGGTCAACCTTTCAGAGTGTTCTGGAGTCACTGGATTGTGTTTTGAGTCGTCTCATGGATGCAGGGTTGACTTTGAACTTGAAAAAGTGTCAGTTTTTCCGAAAAAAGGTCACCTATCTGGGACATGAAGTGTCAGGGGAGGGTATCAAGGCCGATCCTGTCAAGGTGGAGAAGGTGCGTGACTGGCCTGTGCCCAGATCAGCCAAGGAGATGTCCAGTTTTCTTGGGCTAGCTTCGTACTTTAGAAGGTACATTAAGAACTTTGCGGATATTGCAGCGCCGCTGTTCCGCCTCACGATTAAGGATCAAAAGTTTGAATGGTCGGACAGCGCTCAAATTGCTTTTGATTCATTGAAAAAGGCCTTATGCGAGTCACCAGTGCTTGCGTTTCCGCGTTTTGATCCAGAGGCAGGTCCATTCATTTTGGAGACGGACGCCAGTGGAGAGTGTATGGGAGCCGTTTTGCTGCAGGTGCAGAATGGTGTCGAGCGTCCAGTCGCTTACGGCAGCCAGACGCTGTCAAAGTCACAGAGAAATTACTCTACCACGAAGCGTGAGTTATTAGCGTGTGTTCATTTTGTGCAACATTTTAACCACTATCTTCAGGGAGCGAGATTTCAATTACGTACTGATCACAGTAGCCTGCAATGGCTATTGAATTTTAAGAACCCCACCGGCATGCTAGCCAGGTGGTTTGAAGTTTTGGGAAATTATCAATTTGACATTTCTTATCGCCCGGGGGCCACTAATACAGCAGCTGATGGTCTGAGCCGGCGCCCCGAGAGCACAGCTGACGCAGGCGTGCAGACTGAGGAAGCGCGGTGCCATCAGATCAATGAGAGTCCGTGGTCTACCAGTTTCATGAAAGACGAACAAGGTAAGGACGCAACAATTTCAGAGATCGTGAAGCATCTTTCCTCAGGACAGCGTCCAAATCGCCGCAGTGTCGACAGGTCCTCGCGTCCCCTGCTGAGGCAGTGGTCCAGACTGACCCTTCTTGACGGTGTCCTGTACCGAAAGTACCGCAGGAGGGCGAGAGATGAGTTTCAGCTGCAGCTGGTGATTCCGCGATCTCTCGTGACCGGTGTGCTGACGTCACTGCACAGCGGCCCGACCGCCGGTCACCCCGGACCGGACAGGCTACACGCAGCAGTGACCCGACGCTTCTTCTGGGTAGGGATGTTGTCAGACGTCAAGGAGTTCTGCAAGCGCTGTGAGCGGTGTTCATCCAGAAGTCAGCCGGTGCCGAGACCGAGAGCCGCGCTGGGTGAACTGCATGCTTCCGAGCCGTTCGAGACGGTAGCGATCGATTTTCTGACTAACCTACCAGTGACGCCGAGTGGTCATAAGCATTTGTTGGTGGTGATCGATCACTTCACTCGCTGGTGTGAGGTGTTCCCGCTGAAGGATATGACGGCCACCACAGTAGCGTCCACTCTGGTAAGTGAATTCTTTTCCAGGTACGGGTGTCCGAGGAAGCTCCATTCGGATTGTGCCGCCAATTTCACGGGGCAGGTGATTGCCGAGTTGTGTCGTCTTTTCGGCATCGAGAAGACAAAGATAAGTGCCTATCATCCAGAGGGTGACGGTAAGGTCGAGAGGATGATGAGGACTCTGCTCGATATGCTTTCGAAGTATCTCGACGCCAATCACGATCAGTGGGACGAGCACCTCCCATTGTTGATGCTGGGGTACAGATCGCTCGAGCACAGTGCGCTGGGCTACAGTCCGTATTTTCTCATGTTCGGTAAAGAGCCGCGCCTACCTGTGGAGGCTGAGCTCCAGGTTCCAGTCGCGAGCAAATCTCAGACCGTCACAGAGTATGTAGATAAGCTACGCGAGTCTTTGAGAATTGCACACAAGCATGCGCTACAGGTATCTGACGCTTCACATGGGAAAAACAAACGGTTCTACGAAAAACGAATGAATGAGTTTGAATACAAAGAGGGAGATTTGGTATTTTTGCACAAAGCTGTGGTTCCTAAGGGACAATATTATAAGTTTGTGAGACCGTGGAAGGCTGCGGTGATTGTAGCAAAGGTAGGGGACTTGAACTATCGTATCAAGGTCGCGGGCTCCAGGAAAACATTACTGGTTCACCATAATCGTTTGAAGCCGCGAACTGAGCCGATAGTTACCCCACCTCTGCCAGAGGTGACTGAGAGTCAGGATGAGGCTGGTGCTGATGCTGCGTCACCGGTGACACGCGCCCAGACCACGCCGCCAGCAGAGACAGAGTCGGTCTCCGTGGACAGTGGGTCAGCGGATGGCCCGGCTGGTGTCACAGCCTGGGCACGATTGCCCATCATCGGCACAGCTGTGCAAGGTAAGGAGCCAGCGATTGAGGAGCAATCGTCCGGCACAGTTCAGATGGCGGTGCCGACACCCGAGTGTCCACCGGTACCCCCGCGGTCTGAGGTACCGCCGCCGGTGCCAGCCAGACGGTCCGAGCGACGGACTCGACCGCCTGATCGCTTTGTTCCAGGCTTGTAGGCAGCCTGTTTTAACATGAATGCTTCTAAAAGGCAAGGAGGTAAGAGGTGCGCTCAAATTAACGTAAAATCAGTCGCCCTGATTTTCCTTTAAACTAGCTTAGCAGACAATCGGTTGGCTCCTGGCGCCGGAATGCGACAGATTTGTTTAACTCTTTATGGAAAGAGAGTGTGCGCGTCGAGCTAGATTCGGTCAATCCCTGGGGACGTTTCTGATTGACATGTCAATGTCATTAAACTCAGTTTGAGTAGGAGCCCTCTAGCAGCCTGTTCAGAGCATCATGGCATGGGATGTAAATAGCATGGTCTGGTTAGCCTGTGTTTGGGATGGGACCCAGGGTACCCATTGCCATCATTGACGGTTAGCCATACCTATGTTCAGCTCAAGCTAGTTGATAAGTGAGCGATGCTGTGCGATGACGTGTTTGAGTTTTTCGTTGTTGCTGACTGCCAGTCAAAGTCAGCCGGATGCTGCCAGGCATCATCTAGCGACCACGGTGTTATGGTGTCGCGTGGCGCGTGCTGCAACTGCTGATGTTATCACATGAGTATGAGTGTTTCTAGATGTAAGTGCACGCCTTTCATTCAAAGGAGGGAGAAGTGTAATCGGTAAGCTTTGCGCCGATTAAAGTTTATCTGTTTCACCGGCGAGAGGAGCCCGGTGACCATATGATGTCTGGACAGGAATTTAATTCAACGGTTTTGCGCGTGATCGTCTGCTATTCAATTGTTGCTTCAGGTATGAACTCGAAGCTGTCCTAGATACTGCAATTAAATGTTTTTTATTATGTACAGCATATTATTAGAATGGTAAATACTCTTGTTCATGCTTAGAGGCTTTACTGACCAATTAGTATAATGTTTTATATAGCGGATGCCGCGATCGGAGCATCTCATGTGCACTATGTTTTCGCCCATTCAGCTGATCACGGAGGTGTTCGGCTGACTGTGGGCGGGGAGTCTGGATTGAGAGCTCAAGGAGTGAGGTTGCGCTCCTGGCTCTGTAAAAATGTAACCTAAAGCTAAATACAATGTAATGTTCTTCAGTTTTGATTATGTCGATTCACCTTCAGTAAACACGGGTTTACAAATACAACGCATAAGTACTATGCATATAAATTCGCCTAATTAGTTTACCAGGTTATGGTGCTCGTTCCATCTCACAAGCTGCTGCGGTAATCGTAAAACGTATTACCGACAAGGTACCATCGTATTACCATCGTATAACCGACTACCTGTAACAGACAGCATGACCGCATTTCAGACAACTGTGCGCCGGCGATACTCACTGTCCAGGCGGTCGGGGGCGACCAGCGGCGGCTCGCTGACGTTCTCCCTGGCCTCCGGTAGGTTCAGCGACTCGATGACGTCGCGCGTGGTGGCGAACGCCTCTTCCTCGTCGGCGGCGAACATGTCGCAGCAGCCCGAGACGCCGCAGTGCAGCCGGGCGCCGCCTGGGACGGACGGAAACGGACGGAGGCGGCCGGCGTCAGAAATGGCCGAGATAAATACCTAGTGGGTAGTGGGATAGGGGTTTCTGGTACCTGCTCAGCAAGAGGAGCATCGAATCAAATTGAAGAGTCAGTCACTTGATGAAAGGGTCAAAATGAAAATGGCGGCGGCGACAAGCACCTGATACAAAAACGACTGGTAAATTAAAATGGGTTCGTACTTTTCCCGCCCCCAGGCCACTGGTTTGTCCCTAAGACACGGCCGCCGCCGTCAGTGCGGTTCGGTTCGCTCACCGAGCTCCTCCTCCGAGATGACCTCGCCGAGTGCGGCGCGCACCAGCGGCGGACCGCCCAGGAACAGCGTTCCAATCCGGTCCACCATCACCGCCTCGTCAGACATGGTCGGCGCGTACGCACCTGCGCACGGGCAGAGAGAAGGTGAGAGGTCAGAACGTGGTGGGTGAGAGATCTGTCATACAACGGTCCATCAGTACGTCCTACAGCCTAAGTCACCATTAGCCAAATCTGCTGTTAAGATAAAAACAATTGAAAGATGGGTCCCATTTCATAATTATTAATTCACAATATTTCACAATATACCTTGTTTACGATCGCCACCGCCTAACCCCAAGCCTTCGCTGCTCCGCGTCTCACTGATAGTCTTTATTGCCGTTTCACTACCTCCGCCCTCCTAAGTTTGCGGACTGCGGTCTCACTGCCGGCGGTGCAGCTCCCGCAGGCGACGGCCACCTTATCTCCGCAGACCAAACCCATTCCGTACCCCCGTTCCACCCTCTCCCCGCCCTCCAGGGTTGCGGTCTCACCGCCGGCGGTGCAGCTGCCGCAGACGACGGGCGCCTTCCTCATCCCTGTTCCATCCTCCCCCGCCTCCCGTTATCTCACCGCCGGCGGTGCAGCTGCCGCAGACGACGGGCGCCTTCCTCATCCCTGTTCCATCCTCCCCCGCCTCCCGTTATCTCACCGCCGGCGGTGCAGCTGCCGCAGACGACGGGCGCCTTCCTCATCCCTGTTCCATCCTCCCCCGCCTCCCGTTATCTCACCGCCGGCGGTGCAGCTGCCGCAGACGACGGGCGCCTTCCTCATCCCTGTTCCATCCTCCCCCGCCTCCCGTTATCTCACCGCCGGCGGTGCAGCTGCCGCAGACGACGGGCGCCTTCCTCATCCCTGTTCCATCCTCCCCCGCCTCCCGGTATCTCACCGCCGGCGGTGCAGCTGCCGCAGACGACGGGCGCCTTCCTCATCCCTGTTCCATCCTCCCCCGCCTCCCGTTATCTCACCGCCGGCGGTGCAGCTGCCGCAGACGACGGCCACCTGAGGCACGCCGGCCGCCGACAACACCGCCTGGTTGTGGAAGCTGCGCCCGCCGTGCTGCTTGTCAGGGAACAGCTCGGCCTGCAGCGGCAGGAAGCCGCCGCCGCTGTCCACCAGACAGATGGACGGCAGACGGTGCAGAGCAGAGATCTGACGCAGAAACACACGCCGACTAAACAAACTCGTAATGAGATGGTCTGTTAAACATCGCTTACAACATAGTGTCGTGTCCGATTGGTGTAGAATGGTTAAACCTGAACCGGGACAAGGGTTCAAATTATTTTGAGTCAAAAAGATCTAATAATTGCATCTTGCCCTGAGAAATAGTGAACAATGCATACCATGCAACAACTCAGCAGTTTACTTTGTCATTGCTGCTGCCACATGACAAACAATACAACCTACAGCTGTACACTCATGACTCACATGCTGTGCACGGAGAGCCTTGGTCACTGTGATTGGGAAATAGGTTCCTCCTTTCACTGTACCATCATTGGCAGTGATGGAGCAGTACCTGCCCCTCACTTTGGCAATCACTGAAACCATACAAATGTGTCAGCCATTAACCATCTGAGTTTGTAGGTACCAATATAATTAAAATCCTTAATCCTATTTGAAACTGCAGCAGCCCACACTTAAATGTTAATACTTCATACACACATCAGCATCATTTCTGTTCATTCACAACTGTTAAATCTTGACTTGGTAGGTAGGTACTAAACTAATCCATTTGAACCACAAAGCCTCCAGCTGAATACACACTAACCACAAACCATTCCACCATATGGAATGTCTCCATAGGCAAGATTGAGCCCAGCCAGTGGGGCCAGGTCAATCATCTCCGAGCCAGGGTCCACAAGCCGTGCAATGCGGTCCCAGACCAGCAGTTTCCTGTTCAGCTCAGTGTGACGCTTTCGCGCCTTCTCTCCTCCTGAAAAATGAAGCAAATAGGTTCACAATTCCATTATTTCACATATATTCATTAAATATTCCATATGTGTTCCAGAGTTACGAGATGAACAACAAAAATGCAATCTTACCTCCATCTGAAAGCACTGCCATAATTTTATCCAGCTGTTGTATGGATTTCATTCCCCTCTCTGTTGCATTTTGATAGGATTGATCATTGCAGTCAACTTCAACTTCAAGCACAGGAAAACTGGCATTCTTGTTCTGATTTTTGGAAATGGCTTCGGTCTGTGCCGAAAGAGATCTTGTTAATAAAGCTGCAACGTTGTTTGACTTATTTAGGCGACGGAAAAACGTCCGGTAAGCGCTTGTGACCATCATATTAACTATTCCTAGGTCAACCCTACTTATAAATTCATAAAAACACGACTGACAGCACTCAGGCACTCATTACCCTACGCAGTCGAATTTTTGTTTACAAATGTTTCTACGTTTCTGGCGCAGTTCTTTCTAAAGATTGTCGAAATTTTGCTCTAATTTGCTGCTGATCACTTTAGTCTCCTGATCTCAGCAGAAACGACGAATCAAATCGTGAGCGTGAGCGTGATGCTATAGACTGCGTGCGCATGCTCTTTCGTAGATATTGAACACTAGGCTTAGTTCACGTGGAGTGCCCCTTGCACGCTTGCGTGGGTTGATGTGAATTTAAGATATTTTCGTATTTTTTACTGTTTGCGGGGCTGAAGTAAAAGGGAAAAAGAAGTCTGATTCTCTCCTAGACTGTTCACAACTTTTTTTGTGGGTGTTACCATCTCAAACTCGTATAATGATGTGTATTTTGATCGAAATCCGGAATCACTACAACTATACCTACTGTAGTTGAAGTTAAATAAGTTCTTCGATAATCCAAAGCTGCATTTGTCTTGGTCTTGTCGTTTATTTTTATCATATGGCAATGGATTACATGCTTCAACATGAATTGTGATGAGCATGATTGTAATGTGCAAGGGCGGTCACACTCATGATATATCAACCATGACTCGTATTCCTATATCGATGAGTATGCATTTAAGAGTTAGATATCTAATATGCTAATTGCTAGGTAGCTTTTTGTCACAGAATGGGATGTATATTTGTCTAGCAATCACAATATGGTATTGCTTTTCAGCATTAAACATGAGCAAGAGACAGAAGCTGGATGACTCCACTGCAGCGGAGGTGCCAGCTGCCAACAGCTCTGAGTCTGACAGTTCAGAGGAGGAAGATGATGTGGAGGCTGCCAAGCCAGAGGAGATCTGGGGATACAGCACCAAACTTCCTCAGCGCACAGCACCACCTGACATCAAGCACAAGTGTGATGTGCTGAACCTCAAGTTCCACCCTCAGGCAGACAGACTGGTGATCTCCACAGTTGATGGGAAAATAGCCATGTAAGCTCCTTAAGATGTCTCCCATCTTGTTAAGTGTGCCCAAATATATAATGACTGTCTTGTCTTTTGGGAACCATCAGTTGCGTTTATGGGTTTCAAGAATCAAGATACTGAAGCCAGAAGCGTATAGCTGAGTAATGACTATAAGGCATCATGTATAGCTATCAGTTTGTAGATTTTCATGAGTGTCCATGCACTGCATCTTCATCACCTGACCAACTCCTCCTGCCGCCCCATCCCCACAGCCACAGCTACAGCGCTGAGCGGAGTGACCTGGCGCTGACGCTGCCCAAGTGCCGGTCGACGTGTCGCGCGCTCGAGTTCTCCGGCGACGGCGGCCAGCTGTTCTCCGGCTGGGCGGACGGATCGCTGCGCATTCACAGCATGGAGACGGGCGCGCTGAAGCGGCGCCTGCCGGCCGCCCACCCGTCCGGCGTCTACAGCGTGCTGCCGCTCACCGAGCGGATCGTGGCCTCGGGCGACGATGACGGCACCGTCAAACGTGAGCGGCGCTTCATACACGACGAGTAGCATCGTGGACGGAGGTGGTAGTGTTAGAGGGAGGGGCGCCGGGCGGACGTGGGATGGGATACACAGCGGCTGGAAGTCGCTTGCATATGCTGGGATCGTCGGCCCTAAAAAAGTTACGCCATTAAGTGTAAGCAATAAACAACGTAACTCGTTTCCGAAGTCAATATACGACGTTAACTCGTTTTATAATATCTCGTTCCATGCATCCTCATGATTCCGACGCCGTTTCTTTTCCCATTGCCTTTCAGTGTGGGACTACCGGGCGCGAAAGGAGGTGATGAGCGTCAAACAGTGCGAGGACTACATCAGCGACCTGATTGCCGACGACGACCAGCGGTACCTGGTGGCGTCGTCGGGCGAGGGCACCATCACCTCCTTCAGCCTGCGCAGCCGCACCGTCCACACCCAGGTATGTTAGGTAGGACTACCGTAAATACCTGCGTCCTGCAATGAAGAGCGGCAACGCAATAAACATCAGAGTTAGTCAAGGATCAAGAGCAGCTACCGAGGTATCACCCAATGAATGAAACAGGCGAATGAAGTGGCAACCGCGATGTTTGGGAAAGTCGAAATATCCGTGAAACGTACAACTTTACTGGAGTGCCACTCTCTTCCATCCTCAGAATACGTCGAGTACATGTTGAACAGGGTGTAACGCCAATGACCCTGCCGCCCGTCCCCACAGTGCGACATGTACGAGGCGCCGCTGACCTGTATGACGTTCATCAAGGAGCAGAAGAAGCTGGCCGTGGGCATGGCCTCCGACCAGGGCAGGGTGCCCATCTTCAAATGGGGACACTTTGGCGAACACGTGAGTTCATGGTAACACCGGAAAACCGACAGATTTGTTATATAATTATTTTGTTCCACGATTTCATTAGCTATGTGACAAAAAGATGAAGAATGTAAGCCTTGTACGAAGGTCACGTATTGCCATTTCTTAAGGAAACTATCATTTAATTACTGAGGCGCTTTGATTGGTTTGTTCAGCATGGTTTGTTCTCTGCGTTACACACATGAAAAAGTAACCATCTTGCCTTTATCAGATCGAACTAGTTATTCAGCGGTAGTCGACACCCTGTGTTGTTTTTTCAGGTGAATGTGTTCAAGGGCCACCCGTCGTCGATCAACGCTATGGTGGCGGCCACCGACTCGCTGGTCATCATGGGGTACGACGACGGAGAGATCAGGTCAGTCGGTGGGGGGGGGGGGGTTGTCTATAGGTCAGTGGAGGGACAGGTGTCCCTGGTCAGTCAGATGGGGGAGGTCCATGATCAGCCTCCCGAGCAGTGTCCCTGATTAGTCGTGGGAGCGCGATCTTCGACCAGTCAGGGGAGGAGGATCGTGGTCAGCGCCAAGATCAGCGCAATTGAATGGCCGTCTATCGTCTGGCAGTGAGGGACAGGGATCCTCCCTTTCAGTCGAGGCCTGTCTCAGGTCAATGGAGAGCTGGTGGTTACTGGATATCCCCGCCCCCCCCCCCCACACACACACGATAGTGGATTGACTGGTAGGCTTCTTTTGATAGGTCGCACATAATTTTATTGCCACTTCGTGAATGACAAGTAGTTTAACAGTAAAGTTAATGAAGTTTGACATAAATGAAGTGTTAAGATAGTTTACGCTCGGCGAGTGCCATTCATTGATCTCTCACCGAGTGCTCCAACGCCCTAAAACAGCTACGCGTGCTCTACTGACAGGGCGTGCAACATCCTGCCGTACAAGTATTTCGGCGTGGTCGGCCAGCACCGCAAACTGCCCGTGGAGGCGCTGACGCTGTCACGCGACGGCCGCCTGCTGGCCTCGTGCTCGCACGACCACCTGGTACGCTTCTGGGACGTGGCCTACCTGTACGAGCGGCGCTTCGAGACGCGCGGCATGGAGTGGCAGCAGCGCGCCAAAAAGGGCGACGCCCAGAAACTGCTGCCCTCGTCCAAGGTGAAGCCGGCGGCCGACTTTTTCAGCGACTTGCCGAAGGACGACCAGGGAGGCACCTTCTTCTGGGACTGAATGGGGATATAGGGGGGGGGGGGGGGTAGGTAAATAATGTCGGTGCTATGTGATCCATCAATTGACGCGTCTGAATATATTTGTTGTGTTTGTACCGCATTGTCTAAGGCAGAACAGTGCAATTTTGGCGATCTGCCAATCTGCTGGGCTCGAAACCTCACTAGGTGTTTCACAGCACCGAGTGAGCTTCCCTTGGCCTAATTTATCTACGCGATGCATCGTAAATTTACATACGTGAAACAGTCGTGCTCGCAGCACTTGGTTCCAGTTTGGTTCGAACTCTGTGTCGCTCTCTCGCTGCCCATGACACAGGGAAAGCAACGGAGCAAGGGAGCCCAATGGATGATGGCTCACTCATTTCAGTACTTCATTTTCTTCTTCAGCTAACATCAGCAAACATCATCAGCTAACATCATTTTCCTCTTCAAAGGGCGTATAGGCAGAACAATGTACGATAAGTGGGATGAAAATGTTTATTTATAGTGATCCAGAGATGAATGCAAACTTTCGTTGGCAGGCGCAGTCATTCTTGTTCAACGATGATATTCAAAACAACGGCCGCAGAGCGGTGACGATCACTGAACTTCTGGAAGGTATGCATCCGGACTGCAACTGCAGTGCACGGCTGCAGTCCAGATCAGAGGTTCTCCCTACCCGCGCCAATGAGCCCTACCCGCGCAATGGTCCCTATCCGCGCCAATGGTCCCTGCCCGCACAGTAGCTGGTGCAACTCGCACACATTCCGTGACGGGGACTACTGCTGTTTGTACAGCGGAACGACCGATCCGTCGGAAAGTGAACTATCCGAACTCATTCGCCAGCCTGACCGGCCGTATATATCGCCGCATAAGAACGCCGCCCGGCCGTCTCTTCACTAGGTCAACTGACTGGCGTGTATAGCCAGTGTCGCCTGTCAGACACCGGCGTTCCCATCGGCTAACAGCTGGTATCTACTTTGATAAACAGGTACCAGACCACACTAACGTCTACCTCATCTGGTTTGGCACGGCTTAGTAACTCCTCAACACACAAACAAGGAACGTCTTCGCAGTACAAACGATTCGAGCACCCCGCTTTCACGTACACAAATCAATAAAACGAGTCGCTCGGACACATACACGGAAGTCTCTACACTACAACCTTCCGGCGAGCACCGTCGACTGGGACGGCCCCGGCTCACCCATCGTAATCAAAGTACTCGTCGGCCGGCTCGTCGGAGGGGTCGTCTTCCCTCAGCAGCCAGGCGGCGTCCTCTTCAATCAGCTGTTAGACACAGACAAAGGGGGCGGGTCAGCCGGACAAAATACAGACGGCAGGGTCAGCCGGACATACAAGACAAAGGGGGGGGGGGGGGGGGTTCAGCGAGGCATACAGGAGGCGAGTCAGCCGCACATACAGACAGCGGGGAGGGTCAGTCGGGCATACAGACAAAAGGCAGGTCAGCCGGACATATAGAGAATGGGCGGGGGGGGGGGGGGCATCAGCAGCTTACACACAGTAAGCCTACTGTAAGACGCAGGACGGGGGATTAGAGGTCTGCCAGACATGGTACGACACCGGCGAAGAGGGTGGGGGTGAGGTGGGGGATGTCTTTGCCATTTTGTATCGTCAGCATGGGCCAGCCTGTGACCGTTTTCCACTCTTAAACTTCTCGCAAACGGAGTAATCAATGAAGCATGCTGTTTCCCGGGCGCCGATTTAAGGACATGCAAACTGTGAAAAAAAACGAGATAAATGGAATCCCCATTCTGCCTAACCTTATTCTACCCAAGCGTGCCACAGGGTTCGTGGCACGCACAGGGTTCGACAACGGCCGTACCAGCGCAGGAAGACCCACCTAGTCATCCGGGCGACAGTCTGGTCCCCCATCTCCCCTATTTGTGGCTCAGGTGGCGCGCACACGACACGCTCCAGCCGGGCCTCCACCTACCCGGGCGGCACTGCCGATGTCTGACGAACCACTGAAGCTCGGAGCGGCCGGCCGGTCCGTGCCCATCCGCAGCCGCTGGCGCGCCGGGCCCGCCTGCTTCTTACGGTTCACCATGTACCGGGCCGCCTCGTCCCTGCGGCGGTAACACGGGTCAGCGGTCAGTCGGGACCGACCCGTGGCGGTAGCGGTGGGGGAGGTGGGCTGCAGGGTACATGGCGTGTATGTTAATTTAACAAGCTCTAGATCATACAGATGCTTGTCGTTTTCTACATAGCTTAATCTTCGTTTTATTTTGATAAGTGACGACTGCACTGGCGAGATAATCGGCGGGTAGGGTTGTTTGCGTCCAGCCATGCCTGACAAGCCGTCTGTCTCACATGCAAGCAGAGACGAGCGAACTGTGGCTACCTCGTATAGTGTTACCTCCCCCCCTGGCCCGTCTCACCTGTGGACCGAGTTGAGCGGGCTGCGTTAGCCCAAGATGTGTCACCCCGGGCTGTTACCCCGGGCTGTTACACCGGTCTCACCTGTGGATCGAGCTGTGCGGGTTGTGTTACCCTGTGTTGTGTTACCCTTAGTTGTTACCCCGGCCCGCCTCACCTGTGGATCGAGTTGAGCGGGTTGTGTTACCCTGTGTTGTGTTACCCCTAGTTGTTACACCGGCCCGCCTCACCTGTGGATCGAGTTGAGCGGGTTGCCCGGGCTGATGGTCGATGTGGCCATGGTGGGCGTTTTGACCGAGTAGGCGCCGCCGGCGGCCAGGGCCGCCACCGGAGTCAGAGAGCTGTGCGCGGCCGGCCGGCGGCCGCCGCCGCGGCCCGGCGCCAGCGGCGTCACGGCCGCCATCAGCTCCCCGTCGGCCAGGCCGAGCAGGCCGCCGCCGCCGCCGCCGCCGCCGGCGCCAGAGTCCAGCAGGCCGCCCCCGAACAGATCGTCCGGCTGGGCGGCGTCGTTCTGCGCCGTCAGGAAGGCCATCTGCTCCAGCCGGTAGCGCTGCGTGCCGGGCCGCGCGCTCGGACGGAACTCGTCTGTCGGCGGACAGGGAGGGTCAGAGCGGTCCGGTACGGAGGGACAGCGGCCCGTCAGAGCCGTTCAGACACTGGGGGTCAGCGACCAGCGTGTCAGAGTAATCCAGATCAGCGGCTGGTCAGCGTGTCAGAACGGTCCGGGTCAGCGGTGGGTCAACGTGTCAGAATACAGGCCGGGAGGCCGGCGGTAGCCTCAGAACCCAAACAGGCATAGACATGGCACACATATCACCATGACAATTAGTACGATCCCCATTGCACTAGACCCTCCTCACTTTGTTTGCAAGGCTTAGGGTCGTGGCGACCAAGGGGTCAGTATGCACCCATCCTCAAACTCTTACCTAACACGTAACACACACAACCTTCGTTGAGCTTTAATCAAATGAATAAAAACAAAACGCACAGTGGCATGATTTTGGGTGTAAGGGCGCGTAAGTTAAGGACTCCAGTTAGCTACTAGCACGAACGTCGTACACATAATCAGTTGGTATTTGGTACTCACCATAAGCGTTGAGAGTCGGCATATCATCCTTCTTTGGCAGGGCCTTCTTGGATGCTGCACCCTTCCTTGGCGCCGCTTTTTTGGCAGGGGCGGCGCCACGTTTCTGGGACTGTACTTCGGGTGGGACGTTCTCCTCGTCACTGAGCTCTTCGGTAGGTTGTGTTTTCTTAGCGCGCGCGCCCCTCTTGGCCGGTGCAGCTCTTGCAGCGGGCACCTTCTTGGTAGGGCCTTCAGTGTCCGTATCGTCTGCTGGGGGCTCTGAGGACGGGGCCTGTTTTCGGGCTCGCCCTGCTGTTCTTTTAGCCGAAGGGTTTTTCGAAGCTGCTATTTCTGGATCAGTTTCAGTCGGCTGGCTGTGACGTTCAGCCGCCTCATCAGTAGGTTGTATTTTCTTGCCGCGAGTGCCTCGCTTGGCGGGCGCAGCTCTTGCAGCGGTGACCTTCATAGTAGGGACTTCACTGTCGGAGCTGTCTGATTGCATGACCCTCTCTTCTTCCAAGATAGGCTCTGGAGGAGGAGGGGGCTGCTTCCGAGCCGCTCGTCCCGCCGGTTTCCTAGCCGGAGGGGGTTTCGGAATTCCTGGATCGTCCTCGGCCGGCTGACGGCGGCGGCGAGCGGTCGGCTTTTGGTACGCGCTCGGGATCGGCGTGATCGACGCGAGGTCGGAATCCCATTCCGCCGGCTTCACAGGACTGGCCGGCGGGGAGCTGGCCAGCCTCAGCCGCCTCCTCTGGGTCCGGGCGGAGGGTGGGGCGGCGGTGTCGGACTCGCTGACCGCGGCGGCGGCGCGGCGCGCTCTCTTACCGGCCGACGGGCCATCCTCGGTCGCCGCGGCCGTCCTCGCCGCCGCCGCGGTAGTACGACCGCGGCGCCCGGCAGCAGCCCGCCCCGTCGGGCCGTGTTCAGCCGCCGCCGTCCCCGCCGCGGGAGTACGACCGCGGCGCCCGGCAGCGGCCCGCCCCGTCGGCGCCTTCCGCGGCTCCTCCGCCAGCCGGTGGAGGAAAACGCGGGGGCTGCGCCGGCGCGTGTCCTTCTTCAACCGGTCGTACATGGTCTCCGACATGGCCCGTGTCAGCGGCGCCATCGTGTCGTCCAGAGAACTGCGCTCACTGGCGGCCGGGCTCGATGACTTTGACTCCGGCGGCGACGAGGGCGCCGGCTGCGCTGTCCACCGGCCGCGCGAAGTCGCTCTTCCGCGGGCGTTGGCCGGCGCCGCTGACGGCTCCTCCGGTAACGGAGGTGTCCCAGGAGGTTCCGGCTGCGCCGCGCCGCCTGCTGCGGTCGGCACTGGCTGGCTGCTCCCCGGCGCTGCTCGCTTCCTCGTCTGCCTCTTGGCTGGAGCAGCCTTCGAACTAGGCTCCGGCTGCGACCTGGCGGCCTTCGAACCGGGCTCCGGCTGCGACCTGACGGCCCTCGAGACGGGCGCGGACTGCGGCTGAGGGAGCTCCGAGCCAGACCCCGAGTCAGAGTCCGGCTGCTGCGGCGGCTTCCCAGCGGTGCGGCCGGGGCTGTCGGTGTGCTGCGAGACGAGGTCAGGCTGTCGTCGCACCGCCTCCTGCCCGACTGCCGGCCAACAAAGACATTTGTTATATGCTGTGTCGACTAAATATCGATAAAACTACGCTAATGCAACTAATAAATTCCATTGTGCTTACATAAAAAAACGGGAATCTGGTGTGCAATGGAATAAAACATCAAATGAAATGTAGCTTAAGCACCATGATAGCACAAAATTATCAGGTAAAAAAGACACCCACGCTAGACGCCATTGCGTCTAGACGCCATTGCGTCCATATCAGTAATATGTACAGTAGTCTATGGCCTTACACATAGAACATCCGTGATCCGACACAGCGACGCTGGACGCACATCTCACCACGCTGGGCGCACTTCTCACCTGTGAGGAGGTGCAGCTCTTTGGCCAGCAGCTGCCACTGACTGGGGAAGCCGGTGGCGAACGTGAGACGAGCCAACACGGGCAGAGCTGGCGGAAGAAGAGAACAACGGCACAAAGTGAGAGGGAGCTCAGTACCGTTAGGCGTTCAGCTACACCAATCAACCTCAAATACTAAAAAAAAAAACGCAAGCTTATTGGATTGACTCGGCACAAATTTAATGAAGAAATCTTTTATTGTCTTGGATGGCCGCAAACCGCAAACAACGTGCGTAAAACAGGTAGAAAATGAATATGCACGTTAACTTCGCGTGAATGACAGTCTTCAGCACTTCGGCTAAAAATTGCTAGCAGATAAAGTACCGGGGGCTCTACCCAGGGGTAGAGCCCCCGGAATAGGGACGGGCACCCTACCGTGAGCTCAAACTCACCGTATTTCTCCGCCAGCGCCACGCTTAGCCTGCCCTCCAGTACGTACACCTGGCCGTCAGTGGCCTCGACCTCACGCTCCGAGAACCAATGACAAATGGGCGCGCTGGAGACGAACGACCTCACACCTCTGGGGAGAAAGAACAAGCTCAAACGCATGGATAAACAATTATAGGATATTATAGAATATAGAAGTAATTGCCGTTATGGTCGTTAAAACGGCCGTAACGGGCAACGGCAGCCCCGATGGTGCAGTTGGTAAGGTGTTTGTTCTGGATTCGGAAGGATCCGTGTTCGATTCCAGAAGCCGAACGTCCTCCGGACTATCGTCCCCCACAGCGCAACCGCCAGCAGGATAGGCTCTCGCGGATGTCGTGGTCTAGAAAGGAGAAGAAGGGTCGCTCATGTAACGGGGCGCCATGACCTACTGGATGGAGTAACAAAAAAGGTGTTTTTGTAGAATCAGCTGCCCGTCATCTCTTAACAACCTATCTTAAAGTTAAGTGCATATTATTAAGTGCAATAGGGTGTGTCACTAATCGCAATGCAAGGTGCTCCATCGATTTTATTGTGCTCCACTCATGTGGAAAGGGCGTGGCATTGTTAATTTCCCGCAAATTTTAACCCCCAGGCGGCGCCGAGCGAGAGAAGTTTGCCCTATCTCACAACATAGGCGACCCTAGCGCCCCTGGCGGCTGTTTGCGAAACTAACAGGCCGTTGACTGTATGGGCTTATCCCTGCTTTCTGTAAGCGCGTCTAGGGACAAATAATAGTATGGGCAGATTGCAGAGAGTGCAAGCTAATGACGAATACCTATAATGAATACAATATATTGTCACAGGGGCCCAGGAACATTCTTCAAGTTGGGGTGCAAGCCCAAAATACCTGACATGACGCATATGAAATAGTAGCGTAGTCAGGGGGTCCCAGGAGGCACGTGCCATCTACTCCCCCCCCATATCGCATTCAGAGGACCCCTCGGGTCGGAGGGGCTCTGTGGCACCAGTTTACCGCTCAGGGTCTATGCTGGCCATATTTCGATTCAGAAAGAATAGGGCTCGTAACAGCACCTGGTGAGTCCAAAGAAGCCTCACTAAATTGTCCATGAGGGTTACACGCCGGCTTCTGAAGGCTACTGGCGGCCTCTGAGGGCCCTTTACCGGCCTCTTATGGCTGCTAGCGTGCCTCTGAGAGTCCTTGCCGGCCCAAGAGGGGCCATATCTAGGGCCTTACGCCAACCTGTAATCAGTAATGGCCTCACACCAATGTCTCTGACGGCCCCATTACGACGACTGTGAGACTGAGGGCCCTCACTGGTGCTTCTGAGAGCCCACCCGGCCATAAAGACCCCTGCGGTACCAACTGACCTCTGAGGGTCCACGCTGACTATATTTCAGCTGAGAAAGACCTCACAGGTCTCGTAAGAGCACCTCATGAGCCCCTAAGTAGCCACACTAAGATCTCCGTCAGGGTCTACGCCGGCTTCTGAGGATTCCATAACGGAGACCGTGAGGGCCCTCAGCAGGGCCTCTGAGGGTTCACAACCAGCACCTCTGAGAGACCCACACCAGTGGTTCTAAGGGCCCATAAGGACACCACTGAGGGTCCCCCAAGCCAGTGCCACACCATTTATGCAACCCTATATTGGTGGCTCTGAGGTACCCACACCTGCGCCTGTGAGGGTTCGGCAAAAGCATATCTGACGGCCACCTACCTGCAACTCTGAGGGCCTTACACCAGAGACTGAGGGCCACACTGGCGTCTCAGAGTACCTTGTCGGTATCTAAGGACCCCACAGGGCTTCTGAAAATGCCGCCGGCCTCTGTGGGCCCCTTGCCGGTCTGAGGTCCCCCTCCCCGGTCGTTGAGGGCCCCCTGCCGACTTTTAAAGGGTTCGCACCAGCAGCTCTAAGGGCCACACGGCACACACCCACATGTAACGGACCCACACCAGTGTCTCTGAGGGCCTACAACGGCGTCTGTATTCTGTGAGGACCCTCACCGGCGCTTATGAGGGATTCACACTAGCACCTCTGAGGGGCCACACGGGCGTCTGTGAAGACCCCACACCAGTGCCTCTAAAGGCCCTTAATTGGAGGCTCTGAAGGCCCTGCATCGGTGATACTGAGGGTCCTACCAAAGGCACAACACAAGCCATTAGTCTCCTTCTGAGTCCCACACGCCGCCCTCCCACCATAGGCGGCGGAACGGGGAGGGCACCGGGGCACCGTGCCCCCTCTGATTTGGGCATTTTAACATTAGCCCTATGGGCGTTGCATGGAAAGAATGGGACCAAAAGTCGGCAGTGTCCCCCCCCCCTCCACTTAATTGAAGGTGTTCCGCCGCTACTGCCTCCCACCGGAGCGAGTAAACCTGTATCAATCAACGACTTTACCCAGTTCGTGCCTGACCTTCGGACGGGTCGGACGTGTGCCGCGGGGCTCCGCCAGCCGATGGCACGGTCATAGCCAGGCGGCGGCGGTAACGGGTGGCCGGCCGGAGCAGTGTTGTGGCCGCGTGGCTGTATTGTGGTGCTGAGACGGCGCGACGTTGAATCTGGACTGTGTTGTGTCGTTTAAAAGGACTAAGGTGCAACCCAGCATGGCGTCAGACACGGCCCCGTCAGATATGGACTCCATCTTCGGAGACGCCGAGGACATTGTTAAGACGCCAAAGACCGGTGGGAAGCGTAGACAAGCTACGAGCCCTCACCCGACCCAGACACCCCAGCAGGAGTCACGCAAGGCAAAGCGTACCAAACACAGCAACCAGGGATCAAGGGGAGGTGAGGCCGATGAGGTTCATTCGTGTCGACTAGACGGCGAGTCGCTCAGCGCCGTTAAAAAGATCGTGGACGAGGGAATCGCAAAGGCTGTACAGCTAATGGATGTAAAATACAAAGAGCTAGAAAAGCGGACGGAAATTCTGGAGGCCGAGTTATTCGAAAAGAGTCACCAGGTTGATGCGCTCCATGCCATAGTTGCGCAGAGTGATACTGTCATACAGGCGCTGGCTGAACAGCTGGAAGGCATTGAAATCAGCCGTAGGAGCGATTCCGTCATTTTGAGATGCGAGGAATTCGGTGTTCGAATCCGAGATGAAAATATCAATGAATGCGCGGCGGAGATACTGAACAAGCGATTTCCGGATCTAAAAATTTCCGTTAATGACTTTCAAAAGGTGTACCGTCTGCAGAACGAAAAATCGGTCGTCTGCAAGTTCGTTCAAACGAAACTGCGCGATGAGCTGTTCGAAAGACGGTTCGAGCTGGCACGGGGCTCGGGAGGTCTGAGGGAGCTGACCCCTCTCTACATTAGTGAGTTTCTAACAGCTAAAAACTCACAAATCTTCAACACGCTGCTAGAAGCCAAGCGAAACAAGCGGATTTATACGGTCTACACGAGGCGCGGACTTGTCCACTTCAAGGCAGACCGCGAATCAAGGGGCCGGCGGGTCGACGACTTGCAGCAGTTGAAGGCAGTCATCGAGAGCATCAGATCGGGAGCCGGTGCGGCATCGGGGGACCGACCGCTGCACCCGGGTGCGCCCGGGGCCGCCGGGGCGGCCCGCCGCCGGGGCGGGGGCACGCCGTCCGGCCGTCGGCCGGCTCCCGGCGGCCCGGCTGCGGCGGTCGGTGGGCGACCTGCCGCGGCATCTGTCGGCGGTGGCCCGCTCGGGCTGCCGGTTGGGCCCGCCCCGCCCGCGCGGCTGGCCGAGCCCGCCCCGCCCGCGCGGCTGGCCGAGCCCGCGCTCACCGCGCCCACGCCCGGGCTGAGTGGAGCCGCGCCTTCTTCGCTCGTTGCCCCGATGAATCGGGCGCCGGGGCGGACGGACAGCGGCGGGCCGTCGTCAGGCGGCCTTTCGGCCGCTGAACCCAGAACAGCAGCGGTGACCGCTACGCCCGCACAAGACGGATCTCAGCGCGACGCGACTTCAGAGAACGTTGGGACAGATTCGGCTTCCGGCGACTCGGGGCCATCTGCCGTCGGGTTACGGCTGATGCAATACGCCTACACTCCCGCTGAGACAGGTCACACAGCGAACGACGACTAAGAAAGCTGCGTTTCCTCCCTTACAGGTGCTGTTTCAAACATTATTGTTTTTTGGAATATATTTTCCTTCTTGCGTTTTGAACCTCCACTATAATTTATAGCGAGATAAAATCGAAAGCTCTCTTTCGTAGGTAGATACACTGCCGTGCCATTTTATTTTCTTCTCATTACTGTGACAGCACAGCTACATGCTGGGCATTCGAGGCGAAATGTGTGTATGTTCAATGTGTAGGTTTAAATGTTAGTGCACAGGGATATTAGGACTTAGTTACAGAGGGGAAAGGGAGACCGCATGTATACTTTTTACGGTTCATGGAGCAGATGATGACGAGCCGGTACGACCGATCGGCCGGCGTCGGAGGGGATAGCTCGGCTGTATTAGCTGTCTTGGTGCTTCGGTCGGCCCCCGAACCACTGGTGCACACTCCGGTTACATATGCTCCGAGGTGTCGCACGATCGGGAGGGGAGGAATGTGGGGAGGGGAAGGGGACGTTGGTGTTGAAAACTGTATGGCTGGGATCGGATTCTACGAGTAATCAGAGCAGAAGTCACTCGAGCAGTCCTTCATTATTATGCGGAGCACGCTTGCTTTTGTTTGACACCCAGCAAAACACTGAGTCTTGCTGTATGCCTGTTTCGGCGGAGATAGTCAACTGGGGTACATTGAGGCCGCACGTACCGAACCCCAATGGAGGTTAAAATAATCACACTGAATGTGAGGGGGCTGAGAGGTAATGACGGCGACGTTCCGAAAAGGCGCAAATTATTTTCATGGCTTAAAAAACAAAGTGCAGATATATTCCTGTTGCAGGAAACGCATTCAGACGAGAGAAGCGGACATATTTGGTTAAGAGAATGGGGAGGACTGGGTTTTCTTTCTCATGGTGGTAATGCAAGCTGTGGCGTTGCTGTACTGATAAAGCCGGGCCTGAACATCGAAATTAGAGACGTTAAAGTTTGTAGGAGAGGGCGTTTTGTTGTAGTGGCCGCCTCTTTGAATGGCTCTCACGTTACCCTTGCCTCTATTTATGGCCCTAATAATGATGATCCATCAGTGTTTCAAGAATTATTCGAAGCCTGTGAGCTTATTGGAGATGCAAATTTAATAATAGGTGGAGACTTTAACTTTCGCTTCGATTTAACTTTAGATCATGATAGCCGAGCAAGACGAATAGCAAATAACCAGCGGTGTAGGGCAGCTGTTTTAGAATATATGGCAAGCCGTAAGCTTTTGGATATCTGGAGAACACTTCATCCAAATTTAAGAACCTTCACCTATCATCAAGCGGGACTACGTATGAGGTCAAGAATAGATTTTTTCCTCATAAGTGATAAATACATGAACCAGACTCGGTCTCCAATTGCAACTATCCTTGACGGATACATGAGTGATCACAAAATGTGTACTATAAAAATACACGTCGGTGAGATTTCCTTAGGTAAATCGTATTGGAAGTTTAACAATACGCTGCTGCTGGACGATAGCTTTGTTGCGAAGGCGAAGGAAAAGATTGCAGAAATTTTGATAGATAATGACACTGAAGGCACATCCAGATATCTCCTTTTGCAAACGTTGCTATGCGTGCTAAGAGGCTGGATTATAAAAATGTCAAGCCAAAAGAAAAGGGAGCAGGAGAAGCGACTTCGTCAACTGGATGAAGACATTAACCGGCTATCAGCCAGCGAGTCTATGGCTGACGTTTCACGATTACGAGAGTTAAAAATGGAAAGAGACACATATATTAACAATGTCACACGAGGAAACATGTTAAGATGTCGTGCCAACTGGCGCCAATACGGTGAAAAGGGGACGAAATACTTCCACGGCCTGGTAAAGCGCAACAGTTATCGAACCGTGTTTGAGTCCATGGAGCTTTGTCATACTAGCCCGGGCAACAAAACCGCAGACAGCAGACATATGCTACATGAGTGTGTGCGCTACTTTGAGCAGTTATATTCTCACAGAGACAGCAACGGTTTGATGAATGATGTACTCTCAGTGCTGACGCCACTAAATAGTCATGATGCAGAACAGTGCGAAATAGAAATCACCGAAATTGAGCTGGCCAAAGCTTTGGCAAGCATGAAAACGTCGACCAGTCCCGGGCCAGACGGTTTCACTGTACCATTTTTCAAATGTTTCTGGAACGAGCTGAAAGATCTCATAGCAAGCGCTGTCAATGAAATTTATACCAATGGACACATGCCGGGCGCGATGAAAAGTAGCATAACAATACTTTTGCCAAAGAAAAATAAAGAAAGAAATAAGGTCAGCTCGCTTAGACCGATCAGTCTTCTTAACGTATTATATAAGTTAATCACAAAGATGCTGGCTACCCGGATGCGTTGTGTTATAGAAAAATTAATTAATCCAGACCAAACAGGGTTTATTAAAGGTCGCTACATTGGCGAGAACGTCCGTCTAATTATAGATACACTACAAGCAGCCAATGCAAAACAACTCGCTGGATTAATTGTGTTTTGCGACTGGAAACAGGCGTATGATACAGTAAATTGGAAGTTTTTGAAGCAAGCACTTGTAAAATATGGTTTTGGTTCAAAAATGAGAAAGTGGATAGATATCATTTACGATGAAAGAACTGGATCTCCATGCACAGCACAAGTGCAAATCAATGGGCATTTATCACAACATTATAGAATAGAAAGAGGTCTAAGGCAAGGATGTCCCCTCAGTTGCTATCTATTTTTGTTAAGTATAGAACCGCTAGCCGAAATGATTAGACAGAACGAGAACGTAAAAGGCCTCACAGTAAACGACACCGAATTAAAGATTTCATCCTACGCAGACGATACAACTTTGATATTGAACGCCTCCCCGCAGTCCCTGAGAGAATGTATGAGATGCATAAATTCGTTTCAAGAAGCATCTGGACTCATTCTGAATAACAGCAAAACCCAAGCAGTTTGGATAGGTGCCAATGCGGGCAGAAGTGATTCAATTTGCCCAGAAATAGAGATTCAATGGACAAATCAGCCAGTTGAATATCTGGGCATCAAACTGAATGCGACTGGTACTGACCTGCCTGAGCTAAACTACCCTGACAAAATATCTAGGCTGAGACAGAAGTTAAATCCTTGGCAGTCTCGTGGATTGACCGCATATGGTAAGATTCATCTTCTCAGGTCAGAGGCCTTATCACAATTAGTGTACACTATGACTTTAATGGAAAAACCTAATCGACAGCAGCTGAAACAAATTGATACCATTATGTTTAAGTTTATTTGGAAGAATAAGCGAGATAAGATTAAGCGTAGTATTCTAAAATCTAGTCATGGTAAGGGTGGTTTAAAAGTACCAGACCCGTCACTTCAGGCAGATAGTTTAAAAACTGTGTGGATAAAAAAGGCGTTGGACGAAAACTGCGATGCCAAGTGGAAGTCTGTTATGAAGGATAAGCTATTCCTTACGGACAATGTATCTATTTTCCGGTGTGACATGTCACAACAGCAAGCTCTGCAACATTTTGAGAGTCGCTTTTGGGCTGAAGTGTTTTCAACTTGGACTGGCTGTCAGCAGCAGAGCGTTCGTTCGGCTTCGGAGGCTTTATCTACAGTATTATGGAAAAACAAGAATATGTGCCTAGAAAGTAAAAAAGTCTTACCTGTTAAAAAACTTATAGAGCGAGGTGTCATAAGAATAGAAGACCTGTATCACAATGGCGAGAGACGGCTCATGACTGCTGTTGAACTTAGTGGGAAGTATCGAATAGCGAACTTCTTGATATGGCAAGCAATATTGAGATCAATACCTCGTACAATAACTGATTTAATAACACAAAAGCGACCACGTAGAAGCATGTCACCAAAAGTCTTTGAAGAGCTTGCATCACAGCAAAAGCCAGCAAAATGGGCGTATAAAAAACTTTTGCAACAGTTTGAGTCAGGGCAAATGTCCATACAACAAAGGAGATGGCGAACAGAGATGAATGGTGAACCACTCGATTGGAAGACAATATATAACCACGTGTACTCTATCACTGATGATTTCGAACTACGCTGGTTTCAATATCAACTACTGCAAAGAATTCTTCCAACGAACCGGTTGCTTTATTTATACCGATTGGTTGACAGCGATGAATGCGTTTTCTGCCCAGGTACAAAAGAAAGTATTACACATAGCTTTTGGGACTGCCGTCTTAGCAAGCCGTTTTGGGCTCAGATTAGATCACTTCTCGGCCTAAGGGGGGTGCTCAGTCTTAAAACAATAATTACAGGGGTTTATCGTCGGCGAGAAGATATTCCAACGAGCGCCATAATGCATTGTGTGTTATTGGCCAAAAGATTTATATGGCGTGCCCGAAAGGCAGCTCAGCCCCCACACATCCGCGGGTTCATCCTAGCGTTTAGTGGGTACATTCGTGTGGAGAGGTTCGTGGCATTAGTTAATGGAAGGATGGACGAATTTCTGGCGAAGTGGTCTAATGTGATGGACAGAGTGGGTGTAGGTTGACTACAAGAAGACCGGCCCCCGCCCCTAACCCATCCGGGATAACCCGTCGACCGGCCCTTGCAATGTCGCAGGGCCGGTTGGCCGGCCGGGCCTGCGGCGCGCCGCTCAAGCGAGCCGGCGCGTCGCAGGCCCGGCCGGTGACAGGGGCGCTGCCCCGTGGCATGTGGGACGCGGGGCGGCGCGGGCGGGGGTGCGGCGTGCATTGCATGATTGTCTGTTTTGTGTTGTATTCATGGTGTGGTATCATCTGCCAATAAATTAAAAAAAAAAAAAACGACTTTACCACCGTTGTACGTCATAATGTTCTCATCACGACAAATCAAATACCATCCGGCACCAAAATGGTCCAGTATAAAATATGACCTACCAAAGTTATGATCAAGTTCAGATAAAATCAAAGTGGGATGACAATAGCAGGTGTTCTTAAATCGATGCCGAATCAGCAGAAACCATTCACATGCAAGAGAAATACCTTGTGCTGATATTTATATAAAGACAGACATGTAGGTCCATAAAAGGGAGCTGCAGAGATCCTTCATCGTTGCATCAATGTTGAGGGGGCGGCGCCCACTCGGCTCTCAAGTTGGAGGGGGGGGGGGGGGTAAGCGCCCCCACTGCCCCCCTGTTCCCCGGGGTCTATGCAGTGAACGACGCTACAAAAAAAAAAACATGTGACACCTAATAGCAGGCACTATAAACATGCGCTCGTACGTATCCCGTCAGACCAGGACGGGGATCGGGGGTAGTACTGTGCAATATACATTAACACAGAACTATTTCGTGCTTTAAGATGCATAACATCACATTTTCACCAACATTCTGAGTGCCAGACAAGCCAACAGCAAGGCGTCATTTCGGTAAAATGCATTTAATGATGATCGTAAGCTCACAAAGCAAAGCGAGCGTGTTAGTTCAAAACGTTGCCGCTAGGGGCGCTGAGGTCGCTAATGCTGAGAGATAGGCCAAAGTGTCGGCGGTCGGCGCCGCATGGGTTTTAATATTTGGGGGAAATAAAAAATGTCACACGGTTTCTACGTGTCTGGGGCACGATAAAATCAGTGGAGCACCATGTTTTGCGAAAAAAGTGCCCAAAATGACACACCCTAAAGTGCAATCAGGAAGCTCACACTGAACACAGCATATCTCAAATTATGGGGAATAGTCGGCAGGAGATGCTAAACGGCGAACTATCGTCCGGTGCCGCGTCTGCCCGGCGACGCGTACGGAGACTACTGACCGGGTCCAGCGCCACCCGTCGATGTGCAGCTGGCCGCCGGCCGGCCGGGGCGTCCACTCCTTCATGAGCACCTTCTCCGGCCGGCCGCGCTCGCGGTCGCACAGCGCGTCAAACACGGCCTCTGTGTCGGGCCGCATGTCGAACCGGCCCAGCGGCGCGCCGTCCAGCAGCGCGCGCAGGTCCGAGACGCGCACCAGCTGCGGCCGCGGCCCGGCCGCCGGGGCCGCCGGCGCCGCCAGGCCCGACACCGGCAGCGTCCACGCCGACTCGATCGAGTGTGGGTTGTTTACCAACATCTGCCAGTGGAGAAATGCAACTGGTGACACAAGGCGAGGCAGAGCAATGCATTTATTACGTCTTAAAATCAGTTGAGTTTCGGTACATATCCACTACACTAATAAACATTTGTTGAACATGATTAAATAATATTATTGTTATTGAACATGATGTTCAATAATGTCAACAGGTCAAGCTTTCTTGTACATAAACCACCAATATTAACAAATAATTTTTGTGCATCCTATTGTTACGGAGCGAGCGAAGCGAGCGTAGTCTTTCCTTAGATTAACGGAAATTTCTGAGTATGAGCGGCCGGCCGGCCGTGGTCACGCTTTTGCGAGGCTTATATCTCAGCAACCACTTGACCGATTTACACGCGGTAATTTTTGTAGGGTAGCTTCATTCCTTCTACCAAGTATTGGACTATTCCCGATGCATGTGGGTGACCCCTTATGCACGTGCCACGTGCAAAACGAAGAGGTGTCACTTTTGTAATTGTTGCAATATCTCGGTAACTACTTGGCCGATTGCGCTGAAAGTTGGCATGTAGGTAGGCACCCACTAGGCACTGCATATACATGTGCCAGAGTAGGGGTGCTGCTGCACGTGCGCACGTGCAGGGGTCGTTTCCAGATCTCGAGAACGGCTGGACCGATTGCGCTCAAATTTGGTACACGGTTAGGGACCGGTTAGTAGGGTGCCGTGCACAAGTCAGTTGGGACCCATTTTGCACGTGCGCACGTGCAGGGTGCCGCTTCCAGATCTCGAGAACGGCTGGGCCGATTGTGCCCAAATTTGGCACATCGCTAGAGAGCAGTTAGTAGGGTGCCGTGCACAAGTCAGTTGGAGGTACCCCTCGCAATTTCGCATGTGCAAGGCCCACCCTCTCGCTCGCTCCGTTAGTCGCCCCAAAAGGCGTTATACTGGTAATATCCCCATCCGTTAATGGTTCACACTCCTGCCCTGCCTTCAGTTGTTTCTGCCCCAAGTCTAAATTTTTTCAAAGCCCGGCTGGACAGTGGACACGCAGTGTCCGTAGTGGGCCAGTAGGCACATTTGAAATACCTACAATACCTACCCATGTCACATGCATAACAGTGCAAAATGTGACAAAGAGTGTACCCATGCGTGCATTGTAGTCTGTCAAATACAGCAAAAACGTATCACAAGACTCCTATGAGACTGATAGCAGTGTACCAGGTGCTTCATGGGACACATCCCAGTTCTTCATTGTCATGCCAGAAATGACGTCCTGGACCCGTGGTCACATGTGGAAGCTCTTCAAGTCCACAGCCGCCTCCAGAGCCCGATGAAATTCATTCAGGGTTTGGGTTACTTGTGAGTGACTGGAACTCACTCGAATTGACTGTAGGTAGTTCAGATGCGCCTTCGGCCTTGATGCACCTTCAGACTTCAGTCAAATCATTCAGTGCTGGACTCGACACTCACTGGGCACACTTCATGCAAGACTACTTAACTACTCCACTTCATGCACATGACCCACCCTTCTCGACTGAAACACTACTCATACTGACTCATACTCAATACAAACAGCTCATGAAGTCCGGAATCCATAATCCGGATCCTAAAATGAAAAGGCCACGCTGAATTAATTGGCCTTTCTAAATTCCGCGATTCATAAGTATAAGTAAGACTCGCGAACCTATTACCTGCCTGGTCTTTGTAGCTACAGTGAATGTAAATACCTACTGTAAAACACGGGAAAAAGATTGAGAAATTACCTCAAGCTCGTGGGTAGTGTATGATGAAAATTGTTTACAATTTTCAAGCAGCGGCGCATTAGCGCCAAAAAATAAAATGCATCCACCAAATAATTATGCACGAAAGCTACAAGCCCAGAAATAAAAAACAATGAAAACAAATGTTCTTCCCTAGAGAAAAAACCATTAGCAATGGTCTAATGGTCTAATGGTCTATATGGAAATTGAAACCCTAATGGTCTAATGGTCTAATGGTTTGTAGTGGTCTAATGGTCTGATGGTCTGATGGTCAGAGGGGCTAATGGTCTAATGGTCTAATGGTTTCTTATGGGCTAATGGTCTGATGGTCTAATGGTCTGATGGTCTAATGGGCTAGTGGTCTAATGGTCTAATGGTTTCTTATGGCCTAATGGTTTCTTATGGTCTAATGGTTTCTTATGGTATGATCACCATACCATAAGAAACCATTAGACCATAAGAAACCATTAGGCCATAAAAAAACATTAGACATGTTTTCTGATGGTCTATGGGCTACCAATGGTCTCAATGGTAACAATGGTTTCCGGTGGTATCTTGTTAAAACATTCATATGGTGCAAATCCGATCTATTAACATTGACATTCCACATGGTAATACATGACATAACGGTCCCCGACTCCCCAGCATTCATTTTTCTCTGCCATGTTCGGTCCCATGTATGTACAGGCAGTGGCACGGATCTTTTTCAGCTGTGTATATTTTCACATTTGGAGCCTTGTCTTTGTTTCCAATGAAGGTCTAGGAATTTTGTTTCATTATGAAGCAGGATCATTTTCAGTGTATGCTCCGCCTGTGTCTTCTGCCCCTCGCTTCATCATCTGTGTCCGTAGTTAACCTGTAACAAAAGTGCACCTTTACATGGTTGTCTTACTTATTGTTAGTTGATCTTTACATATCTTTTTTTTTACTTTTTATACTTGTGATTATTTGATCATAAGTTGAAATTTTAAATTTTCTATAAAAAGGAGAACTGGTAAATGCACAGGGTGGCTCACGTAAAACACCTGATTTGAAACTTGAATAACTTCCTTCAGTCTTAATTAAATTGGAAGATATTTTCACACAATGTAGGTGCATATGTTGGGGATTATATTCATCCAATTTTCAGACAAATCCATTCACGTTCAGCTCAGTTGTGCATCTCGACGTGACCCCATCGTTTTCAGTAACTTTCTTGAGGCGCTCGTGGTATGCCAGCGTATATTCCCTGCGCATATCGACGGTGATCCCTGCAAAGGCGGCGATCTAACCCGTTACAACTCCAGAATGCTCGCCGACCACGTCACGTATACCTTCGAATTCATAAACCCCTATATTAAAAAATCACATGGGGTGAGGTCGGACTTAACTTAACCTGCCCTGGCTATACCCTGGTTACCGCGCTTGCCCAATCTGCTTTGCCGAATCTGCCCTGCCCCAGCCCATTGCGCCCGACCGACCTCACCCCGCGTGACTTTTTCATGTAGGGGTTTGTGGAGTCGAAGGTATACGTGACGTGGTCAGCGAACATTCTGGAGTTGTAAGGTCGGGCTAGAGCCGCCTTCCCAGGGATCACCGTCGATCAGATGCGCAACTGCAAGGAAGCCGCGCTGGCATTCCACGAGCGCCTCGAGAAAGTTAGGTACTGAAAACGATGGGGTCGCGTCAAGATGCACAACTGAGCTGAAAGTGAATGGATTTGTTTGAAAATTGGATGAATAATCCCAAACAAGCACCTACATTGCGTGAAAAAAGCTTCAATTTGAAAGCCTCACGTTAAGTTTCATACGGCCTGTAACATATGCACTATGTACCTATATTAGGCACATTAAACATTACTTACTTCTCAGTTCTGATGGCAATTTTTGGGGGGTGAGCCTTTGCTTCGTCCCACACCCTTGAATCCGGTTCCAAGGTGTGCAGGTGACTGACCAGTCTGCTCTTCCCCCTCCTCTCGGTTCTCGTGGCGCTTCCTCTCCTGCTGGCGGTGGGTCTCTCGGGTCTCTCTACGACGCTCACGGCGACGCTCAGCGTTCCGCAACGCTTCGGTCTCGCGCCGCGTCTGCGCTAGCCGTTTACGGCGACGGCGCTGGGCAACGGCGTTCGCATCCCGAGCCCTTTTGGCCCGCACGGCGAGGCATCTCCAAACGTTCTCACGCACACAAAGTAAACACACTTTAACTACAAAACACTGCATAATTAATAACACTTATGGCGGTAAAAAACAGCGGAATCTTTCTCAGGTAACACCGTTTCACCGATCATTAAAGCCAAGATACCCATAATTAAAGCAGCACAGAAGGACGAGAACGACGCGAATTGTAAACAAAAATTTCACAAGCGGCAAATAAAACTGAAAAGATTTGCCCTTTGCCCATTGTTGTTCTTCATTCTTTATTATTCCTTAAGCATCCTCGGAATTAGGCGAGTTGTGTTCTTTAACACACTGGTTCCTCTGAATCAGGTGATTTATTGGTGAGTTACTGACAATGATGTTTCATGATCTCCCAGGCAGGAAAACCGCATAAGTTGCCGCAAAACGCGGTATGCGGCATTCGAATAACCGTAAAAAATAATGGAGAAAATGCTTCTAAAATACTAATAGGTCAATAACAGGTCAATGATATAATAGGCCAGTTATATAATAAAACACTAATAGGTCAAAGGTCAGGTCACCAGACAGCGGCGTATTTAGAAAATCGCGAAGGGGGGGGGCCAAGGGTTTGGAGGGCGCCACCTCACCCAAGGAGGGCGCCATACGGTCGCGAGATAGAAAATCACTCAACGGGGGGGGGGGGGGGTTGGGAGGCGTTTTTTACCATGCCACCAGTTTTTTTTTTGCGTAACCTCGTATAGGTCGTGCTGCATTGATTTTGCATCGTGTGTATTCTTTATACTCCAGGTCACAAAAGGTCAAGTGGTCTTGAAATGCTGCGCCGAAGGCGCGCGAAATTTTTGAAAACAACCTTTTCCTCCGCTTTTTAGGCACGCCTTTTATACGATCACTGTTCAAAGCTCCTCTCGCTCTTTTACCAAATTTGAAGGTATAAAAAATACCTAAGGTTTGGTCGGGCCGCTGCCACACAAACTGTATAGAAAGCTTGGCTCATGGGTGTCGATGTATAAAAGTTTATTGGCGGTGGCATATCTACGCACCAGATCACCGTATCGGATTGATACCGGAGCGCGAGATGCGTAAACATCATCCAAATTACCTCAGACCAGCCTTCATAGCCTTCTCACAGGTGCATACAGTGTACCCACATAACCAGTTTCAATCACCGAAACTTCAGATGCCTGCTGTTGCGGCCGAAC